TATATATATATATATATATATATATATATATATATATATATATATATATGTATATATATATGTATATATATATATATGTATATATACGGAGGTTGACCACTTTTATCAGTGGACGATCGCGATTACCGAATATACTATGCGCCTAGCATCAACAGTACTGGTCTGATTTTTCCACCAGACGTGCGCAACGCAACAAAGACAGTAGTGTTCCAACAAGTCCGTTTCGGTTTCAGTTTATAAAACCATTGACTACGCACTTTCGTGAGGCCGTTTTGGTTACTGTCTTTTGGNCCCGTTTGCATGGAAGCGTAGAGGTATGAGGTATGAGTCTTATCAAGGTGTAAGTAAGAAATTCTAGAAGACTAAGGTTGCAAGCACATTGTGAAAATGAATGGGCGTCACTGCTTGCTACGGTCACATCAATCAGTGTTTGTAACCGCCGCCTGCGCTGACAATGTGAAATCTCCGTCGTTCTCTACAGCTAAAAATATTTAAAGGACAACAGAAACAGGGTCAATGGCCAAAATATTCATGATAAAGTACATATTTGCGATTGCCGAACCCAGCTGTGTTTGGAATTCGATGTGACTCTTATTTCCGAATCCCTGCGACAACAGCCCAAAAGATGGCATAATTGACGTCTATGGTTGGTGACAAAATTGAAACAAAGAACAGAAAAGAATGTAGTATTGAAAGGATCAATACATGAGTCTCCAGTAGCAAACCGATCATCTGGATGAAGTACCACGGTACTTGTATGTCAAGCGGTTTGGGTCCCAGTGTGTTTGAACCCAGCTCAAACTCAAAGTTTTCGTCCTAGAAAGCTACCAACTGCGTCTGTAGTTCATACAATTTCTCCGTTAATTTTACTGTCATTTCCCACCTTTTCTGTGCGATTCCCAGCTTTATCGGAAAATTCATCCATGAACCAACTTTCTGCTCAAAATCAGTGGTGAAATATAGTTGTGGTTTTCCATATAAAATATCATTTGAAATTGATGGTTATCAGCCCCACATGAGCCACCAAAGAAAGTGACGATATAAATGGCCCGGAAACTTCAACAATGAAATAACAGTTAGAATATCCAACAAAGAGAGCGGAGAATGGCACACTTACCTGTTCCCAATTGGGTATGCCGACGAAATCTCTCACGGGCAAGGATAAGTGTAGCAATCCACGATCACGAGCTTCTTTCGGACCGAGGACAAAAGATTTCACTTCGAACGGTTCCAACATACTGACCATGTGCGTGACGTTTTCTTTGGACTCAATCTTCGGCCAACTGGATCGCAAGGGCAATGCGCCTAATAATATGTTCGCATTTATACGCGAATACCAGGTACGAAGACTGAGCAAGTGACTGACGTAACCGTACACTGTGCTGACATAAAACGCTATCTCCCGACCCAGCATTACACTGAAAGCATGAAAAGCAATGCATGACTAGGTTTGAATGAACATGTTTATATATATATATATATATATATATATATATATATATATATATATGANCAACAACCTTGTTTGCAACACCGGGTGACCATTGAACAGACAGATACATGGTAAAGTGATCATCGAAATAACCACCTGGGAGCTATCCTTCGATTATCTGTATTTCCCCAGGCAGCATTATACAGCCGCGGCCACCTTCCTGAAAGTTAATTGTATATTTCTATAACCAATAAACACAATAGGAATAAAAATTTTCATTATTTTACCATATTACATAAAAATGGGGAGTGGGCTAACTTAATCTTGTAGCGACATTTTACACTTTGAAGGTGAAAAACGCATACCGAACATGGTTACACTAGCACTGAATCCAGAAAAGCGTGCAACCTACCTGGGATCTTCACTTGGCAACACAATGTTGTCTGCATATAGTAGATCAGTCTGACATTTGGGAGCAAAAAGATGCTATTATTCTCGCACGAGGATAGGACTGTTTCAGTAATCCGGTCTATGACAAAGTGGAATAGAAAAGGGAACAAAGGGCCACCCAGACGAATACCACTTTCCGTGGTGAACTCGGATGAAAAAGTGCTTTAGGCTCAGACTCGGCCTCGGCTCTTAGCATACAGGGATCGTATTGTTGAAATAAACTTCTCGGGTACACTATCCAAGGAAAGGCAATACCAGAATATAGAGCGGTTGACGGAGTTGAAGTTCGTTTTCAGACCAAGGAAGACAGAGATGGCGGGTCTACGGAAGGAGTATCTGTGTTCCAGAATTGGGAGAAGTGTGAAGATTTGATCGATACTACCTCGGTCAGGTCGAAAACCAGCCTCATTCTCACGCGTGCACCGTTCACGTGCGGCGGAGTATGATACCAACGAGATGTTTAGAGGCGACCCATTAAACTAATTCAGCAGTGGTTTTCACAAGAGGATCTGAAGCCTCTCTTGTAAAGCGGTATGATCATCGAATCACACCATTCTGATTGAACCTGTTCTGCCTACCATATTAAGTCCAGAAGTTTCGTCGACTCCAAAACCAAAGCTGACCCTCCATCTTTAAAAGGCGATGAGGACAACCCATTCGGGCCGGAAGCCTTACACCTATTGAGATAACTTATCTTCCGGGGGAACCCTTTATTAGCCAAAATAATCCGTCATTGGAGGTTCAGCTGAGCAATATTATACTATACATTTTCACACACCTGAGCTACGAGTGTGCCAAACAAATCACGGTACAATAATCTTTAGAAAAACAAAAGTCCATGACTGAGCAATCGATAAGAATTATACCATCGTGAAAAATGATCACTTGTTTCTATCCTCCGAAGTGTCATCAACTGACTGTTATGTCCATGAGTGGTGGTGGCGCAGTGGTTTAGTCGCTGTCACCGGTGTGCTTTGGAACCTATGGCCTGAGGTTCGAGCTCTACCAGCACCACCCAACTTTGGTTGTAGACAGCTTTGCTGTCGTCCGGTTCAATACCAAGCCTAACCTAGCAGGGCCCTATGTGGTTTGCCACTCAAAATCCTGGGGCTTAGATTACCGGTTTCCATGGCGGAGCAGCAGGTCTTCGTGACTATGGGGTTCGCTCCGTCTGCTGTTCACCACACAAATGTGTGTAATAAAAATAATTTGACATGGATAAGTAAACATTGTGCGTTTGAACCACCGGAGATAATACACTGTATTCACGTATTTTATTGGTTCACATCTTAAACTTGCCATCGGGTCTTACTGTTCTTGATTTGGTTTCCAACACCTATTATTGATTATGCAGAAATCCCTGATAGACATCCTAGAGATTAGGTTTTTCAGTCATGCAAAAGCACGGCACCTATGAAGTTGGTGAGCATTTAATCCTAGTTATACAACAAGAAGCCGCAACTGTGACACTAATAATTGTTGTCACCTACCCCTGACGCAACAGCTTAAAAGAGCGCGTGCAGCTACAGACCCGAACCTCTCCTGGACAAGTAACTGACATAGGGACGAAGCAAGATGTCGTACCGAAATACTAGAAACGCCAGAATACCTACAGCGCTTTGTAGATTTTACTCAGAATGGAAATTCCACCGTTCCCAAAGCCACCCTATGCGTTTGTGGGTAAAGTAGATCACATTTTCACTTCGTAAAACTCTCTACTGCATCTGGTAAAATATCTACTATGAAAGTGTAACGTGATGTTCTTTCGTAAGTAGGTCATTTGAAAAAAGTAAGAGCAGTTAGCTAATATTCGCGGAGGATTTCAAGGGAGCTAATAAAAACTATCTACGCACGTTATTTCCATTATACTTTAATACATTTAGCATACTTCAATTCATCGTGCATAACTTTTGATCCATAAGAAACACTCATCGAACCATGATGCACGAATTTTCACCTCAGATGAATACCTCTGATATGCGACACATCCTTTTAATTCAAGACATGAACTGTTCAACTTATTGATGTTCTACACAAAAGTATGAAATCTATAAAACATTCTGTAAGATTATAATACAATGTCAAACCTAAAGGTTGAAATCTACTTACTCTTAAAGCTCAATGCAATTATTTTGAAATAAATATCAAGTCATATACCAGGCCGCAATTCTGAAAACTATGATCTACTGAACTGGAAGCGAAATGAACCCATAGGGTTAGGAAGGAGTTTGGCGGATTGAGCAGTATCATGTGAATACTGAACAGAACTCGAATCTTTTACTTAAAAGGAACGATAGCAACAACTGGTAGATCTCAGCCATTGTCCTTCATAAAAGACGATTCTTTGAGACCGTGAACCTGATCTGAAGTGTACACTCCATCATTTCGGGATCAATCCGTGATTGTACAGCATATCAAAAAGGAATCAGACAACTACTGTTCGACTCAATACATAACTTAATCTGATAACTAGAAAAAAGATTGATCATGTGTATTCATTACCAAGGTACGATCGACGGATGTTGGATTAAAACAACGTAAACTTCGTTAAACTTAAAAGCTTACGTTTGTTTTATTTTAGTATTGTGAAGCCGCTTAGACAGCCTCCACCGAAGAAGCCCTACTCATTGCCATCATGTGGCGGTTTTCTCATCAAATAGAGAAAACGAAGAGCCAACATCCGGGGATATAACCGGATAGGTGAAGTACTGGCCGTTCGCCCAGAGGAGTTGGATGGAAACTTCCATTCCAAATCAACCAAGGAGCGCACGAACCAAACCCACATTTCTTGTGACAGCAGTCGCCGTCTAGGTTGTGCATCGAGGTGCACTGTGCATCTAGGACGGTGGACCCCGTACACAAGGCATACGTAGGATCCGATGAACTGGACACTGACCCCCAATGGACTACGGTTTTCACACCGCTCAGCTGCCTTGTGGGTAGGATTCGCGTTAGCTCAACAAATTTAGAAGCTCTCGCCTGACCAACCCAGTAGAATGCCGTTCACTAGCAAACCATTGAAGTATCTTTGTTGTAAAAATGATTGTACCGTGATTTGTTTGGCACCGTCTGGGCTCACTTTCACCTTACAGTTGTGAGACTATTACTGTGGAAATGAAAGCTGCATTAAAGTGTTGTGTGAGCGACTTGGGGAACTGGTCGTTATAGCAAATCCGGAAGAATAACACTTAATGATTGGATCAATTGTTGCACTTATTGCGACTGCGATGATTTGGTTCAAGGAATGACACAAACTAGCGACCAAAAGTTTGTTTTGAGTGACTATGAGGTAGACTTTCAGCAGCAACTGAAAGCATTAACTTGTATTAGTGATTAATCATGCCTCTGGAATACCAAAGGCTTCAAGTGAGACCCACGACAACGGAGCGTTTTGTTCAAACCTGTTATTAGCCATTTCATACGAATACCTACAAAAATGCATCAAACTCGCAAAAGAATACAGAAAACCAAGAACAGACATTTCGCTTGTTGGTGTTATATTTGAAAAATAAAGCTAGACTATCAATCATTCTGACCTTTCACGTGATCATCGTTAGCACACTGAAACCGAAAGAAGAGCAAGGGACCTAGTAAAAGCAAGTATTGTTCCAGCAGCAAATCCAGTAATAATTCGTGAGCGAAAAGATAAAGCTCATCGATCAGTTAGCAGATTTTGATAGACCTAATTCATGTTGTACTCCTTATTTGCACAGGAACTGCATGTCCCGGTGAAAGATGAAATTGGAGTTCTTTCTAAGAGTGTACAAAGATCTGTGATAACGTTTTACCCCACAGAAGACAAGGTTGAAACAAACAAAAACATTAGTGAACATGAAAATGCTGCAAAAGCATCGTACCTGTTCGAGAGAACAAAGAAGTCAATACTAAAAATTATACTTCATAAATACAATGTACATGTATTGCGAGTCACATCTGGGATCATTCAATTGACTGTTCTCAATGTTTCATTCGCGTTTAGACCCTCCCGACACAAATGGATCTGTTGCTTCAAGAGACGTCGATGAGGATCACTAAGTGGGTCGTTGTCCACGAACAGCTAGAAAGAGAGCAAGAAATGATTAAATAAACTGAAATACGGTCCTAAGGATGAAAATCATAAATGAAACTGTTCATTCGGCACGGTGGTAGTGAGAATCAGAGGAACAGTGAAAGTCTCAGAGCTTGAACATAAAAGGGGACTTTTCATTACGATTCAGCAGCCCACTAATAAACTGACTCAAACAAAGAACGTTTCACCATTATGAATAGCACAGTGGAAACCCCAAAAGAAAGCTACATCTTTTCAAAAAGGAGAAGGATCTCGCGTAATTTGGGAGCATCAGTATGCAGATGCAACTGAAGGTGCATGCTGCCGAGTGTGCCCACTGAGTGAGTAACAAGAGGTTAGTTGAGAGTACGTTGCTATGACCACAAAGCAAACGAGAAACGACATTACTACCACGGTAAGGTCGATCTTAGTTTCATCATCTGGTTTTCAACACAAGCCACGTAAACCAAATGACCGTGCAGAGGTCAGGTTTAAAGCGAATCACCGACATCACACACACACACACACACACATATACACACACCGAATAGGAGTGGTGGTTTTGTTCAAATAAGATGATTCACTAATCATTTCAGTTTGGACAAACCATGTATCATCTTGGTAGCCGGGATCTATGAGATATCAGCGCCTGGAGCGTGTCCAAAACCTATTTTTTTTCCATTTACTTCCTTTTTATTGAACGCACAAAGATACAATTTTTCAGGAAGGGGGAAGCGGCCAATCAACCTCATGGATTAAATTAAGCTTCGCACATGCTTCGAGCAAAACACCCGGGAAAACATTTTTTGATTGGGAAATCGGGGAAGTATGTTATCTGCACATTTAATGCAATCGATTACAGCTCGTATCTCCTCATCTAATGCTCTGCGCAGAGGAGCTTCACACTACAAAAGCTGTTCGCCACCGTTTTTGCTTCCAGCTGGACAACAGGGTCTCCATGAATCCTCCACGCGCTGTTTTCTTTGCATCCTATTATTTCCGCCTCTGCGTCGATGAACAACGAGCAAGTAGCATAATTTACCGTTGCAAATCGGGCACCACATTTTTATCAGAAATCCAGACTCGTAATCACTTTGTCCAATACCCCCACTCAGACTCAGCGCAATGTTACAACTGTCTTATTGTTGTCTTATGCGGTGCATTGTCCCCGACTCTAGAATTATTATCGAGGGTATCTATTGGCGTGCAGCAGACTTCCATGACCGTAGGTTTTATTCGTTCTGCCGTTCACCACACCCCCATGTGCTGAACCTTCAAGCCGTCCGAATGGTTTCATCCGGTGTATTAGAAAACCGTTCAGAGGTTTATGATGGAAAACAGGATTCCTGCCTTATAGTGGATTTCGCCGTATACAGAGTTAACAAAGCGTGATCCGAAAAGTTAGGAAGTATTGTTTCCGTTTGTCTTACAAAACCCTATTTACTACCGTTTACTTTTATGAGACGAGTTCAGTTCCCGAGTTCAGTTCCCACTGCTATCCACGCCTGGTTTGAGCAGAGAAGTAACATGTGTTCCATTCCCGTAGATCACAGGTGATTCAAAGGTCTAGCCGTTCTACGTCCTCCTTGACCGTGCAAGACCAGGTTTTTAGTTAACCTCTCTGGAAGTGACGCTGGCATCGTTTCGACAATCTGTTCTCAGTTCGTGCGAGAACATGGTCAAACAATTCAAGGTTACGGCACTGTAGCATAATCACCGAACATCTTCACTGCTGACACGATTTTGTCGTCTTGTCATAGGAAGCCATTACAGGCACCAATTGTCGGAAACTTTTTAACTCCTGCTCATACCCTCTTACTGGCCAAGATTTGGAGGTGAGAAACGGATGAGAAATAGTTCGGAAGGTTCCTTACCTAGGGCACAAAATCAATTCACTGCAAGTCTACCACTAACCAGTGTAATTCCAGAACGTTTCATGAACTTTCCACTCGTAGTTTGGTTTTATCCTTAACCTAATCATCGGATCGGACCACAAAACAAATAAAAATATTTCAATGTTTAGATTCCTCCCAATGATTGGTTGGTGAATTTAGTGGAGTACGTGAAAGGTGCATAGTTTAAAAACGATGATTTGGTGTTCATTATCAGTCCAGTGATTTGTACAACGCTGT